CACCACAACATATATTATATCGCACTTGTAAAATAAATCAATATGATATTCAAATACCGTATAACTGACATAAACCCACCATTCATGTAGTTATTACTCTCTATTAAAGAGACATATCAGTTGGATTACTAGATGATTATGGCAGACACATTAAAACAGTGATAAAAAACCGTAATTTATCAATATTATATAAGCCGAATTATGTAGCGTGGCATTGCCTAATCCGGAAAATAATACAGAGAATGGGTCGAAATGGGTCGAAATGGGTTTTGGGTTGGGTTGGGTTTTTGAGGTTTGGACCCAACCCACTCGTGGGTTGGGTTTGGGTTTAGGATCTCGACCCACCAGTGGGTTTTGGTGCAGACTACTCCTAGCTTGTTGCTTATAGTCAGCTCCCTCATATTAGTAGGTCGTAAGGACCTCGCGTATATTATATGATATATAGACTAGGTTTAGTTAGAAACGCTCCATTTATTTGCTTACTACGCGTGGAAAAGCGGAGATTTCTTACAGCCCTCTATATAACATAAGAAAGGGATTGCTTTATCTCTTCATACGATGATGCGGATACCAGAGGCCGACAAGCCACAACATTCACCCCGCCAGAATTGATCGCCTATCTGGACCTCACTCGAAGGGCTCAAGTAACACACCCAAGCTCATCGGATACAAGACCGGCACTCAGGATCGGTCAGGGCTAGTTCCCGGTGGGTTTATTATCTGGCTTGTGTGGGAAATTGTTTCAGGGCTACGCCTCGGAGATAGGAATGGCGCTGGTCCATTTTGGGCTCTTCAAAGCTGCGACGAAATAGAGCAAGTCCGCGCGGCCTTTAATAAGGCTCTTCCGTAAGTCGATATTCCTTCTCTATCTATCACTAAATCTAACTATTATCGACGATCTAGCAAGCTAGTAGAGGAAGGGTGGTACCCCACTGTGCCCAGGGCAAGAAGTCTAGTTTGGCAGCGGGAGACGGAAACACTGTGTGTTATTACCACGTCATCTCCCGAGGTCGACGAACTTACTACTATACTATAGCTACTTTGTCGGACGCTTTATTAAGGCCGGCAAGCCCAAACGTCCGATCGAGGGTGTCGAGTGGATAGCGACTTTCGAGCTCGCTAAACCGGACTCAGATAGATGGGAACGCCCCGACTGGGATAAACACATTTCACGCTGGAAATGGTAGTTGAGGAGGAAGCCGAATTGTTCGTTCGACCTCTTATTGCTCTTTGCTATGCTATACTAGGAAATAATAGCACATTTATGTGAGTAGACTTGGCGAACGCTCCATTGAAAATGTAACACGGTACTATGGACAATAGACAGCGGACAATAGCGCACCTCTAGGGCTACATATTCCTTTCACCTGGGCAAGGTTCTAGCCTTTACAACCTTAGAAGAGACGATCGCTCACGCCTCCAAAGGAGGGGAATCTGCTCGCATCTTCGTAGGTGAAGCGGAGTCTTATTCGTCATATGAGATACTCGCACCTCTAAACATAGAGGGGAGTTTACTCGCATCTCCATAGATGAAGTGGAATCTTCTCTCAATTGCTATCATTTCCCTGTCACAAAATATCGACCTATTGTGAGGCCGGTAAGTGGTTGTGCCTCTTAGATGGGAACCGTCCACCTCTGGTTCCGCATGCCTGTGCTAGTGCCGAAATCGGAGTCTGCTAGGCCTAGTAAACCAACATGGTACAGACTCTGAGATAATGACACTGTTCCTCCCGACCTGCTTCCTCTGTCACTATGGAAAATTACTGGAGAATAAGGCCCCATACTCGACCGATATCTACCTTTCCAAAAGAGATCATCTGCTCGTACGTGGTCAAGAAGCCATATTTCAGGCTCAACTCGACCATGTACTGCGCAATTTGGCCTAGGTGTATGCGTTAGTGTGAATTTCTTCCTATTAATAGCTCACAATACTGACCTAGTGCGTGCCTGAACCTTCCTTCCGTGACCCCAGCCTCAAATTCATGAACCACGTTGCTCAGGCGGTGCTCGTGTATCCAGGGGACCTTAGACCTTGGCTATATGAGCTGAGGTCATGAGCACAAAATCAGGGGCTTTCTTGTACCCTGGGTACGGCGGCAAAGCACCTTGAAGGTGCCTAGCTTAAGATCCTGGTTCTGAGCCCCGAAGACGGCTCCTAGAGCTGTTCCATGCTCGTCCTTCTAGTCGGCCTTGCACACCGCGCTCGTCTGCCACGAAAACATGTTCTTCATTGACCGAACCGGGGAAGAAATTGCCCGTCAATTTGGGCGCTATGGCCCTCGGGTTCCAGATCTGGCTGTTTTATGTGTTTGCAACTTCTGCCTCCAAGTTGGCCCATGGTTGCAGAGCTCCGACCAACTTTATCCGGTGTAAAGAGTGGCTGGTGGTATGGAGAGCGGGAATATCGAGATTGGGAAGGGGTTCGAGCAAGAGGCTAGACGCACTGTAAGAAATTGAGGTTGCTATGATGTTTCGTCGGTAGAGTAAGTGTTGAAAAGTGGTAGCTGGGAACGTTGTCGCGAGGTGCCGAGTGGGAGGTTGTTGAAAATGACAAG